TCTGAAGGATTGGTATTTAAATTAATTTCCAAATTCCTTGTTCGGTGGTGCCCCGGTTGTAAAGAGTGAAATTATAACAAAATTGTACTTACATCATTACTCTACATCTCATATGTGGTGCAGCCACGTGAGGATACACACCCTGGAGGGCTTCTAAAGGTAGAGGGTAAAATGGATGCAGCAGTATTTGGAAAGTACTAGGGGACAAAATGAAATAGTCGGCACGAGAACTGTGACTTGGGGAAACACTTGTTTCAAGACAATGACTGAGAGCATAAAGCTAAAGCTACACAAGAATGGTTAAAAAAGACAAGAAGGTGAATCTTCTTGAGTGGCCAATTCAGAGCCAAGACGTTAATCCAATGTGTGGCTTGACTCAAAAAGGACTGTTCTCTCATGATCCTGTACAACCTGACAGAGCTTGTGCAGTTTTGCAGAGAAGAATGGGATAGGATGCTGTGCGAACCTCACTGAGACCTATCCTCACATGCTCAATGCTGTAACTGTGAACAAAGGTATCTACATAATACTGATTGAAGGGGGTGAATACTTATGTAATCACTTAAAAAAAAAAAGTTATGTTTATTTGACATAATTTTGCAGAAATACACTTCGACAGGAAAAAGTTGTTTTGTTTTTTTTTATCAAAAAAGCCATGATTCAATACGGAAACGCAAATAAACGGGAAAAACTTCTAAGGGAGGGTGAACATTTTTTATAGGCACTGTAAATTTATATTAATCTCACAACATCTCCATCTGACAATTTAAAGTACTTTAGTTCAATGTTCATTGTTTTAAATTGCTACGTAAGTAACACTGACTTGACTTGACCTATAACAATGAGTCAGTGATGGTACTGGACGTGTTCTCAACTACAAATGCACAGAATGTAATGCATCAGAAATGAAGCACGACAGTGCTGCATCTAATTTAGTCATGGTATGAGCATGCCTCTTTACTGCGCCTGAACCTTCTAAAACTGCCAATGGGTAGCATTAGAACAACAGATACAACCTGGTACAGGGACCTCTAAGGTGGGATGGGCTAAACCACTGCAGCAGGGCTGCAAGAGATGATGTAATTAAAGACACTGCAATCAAACTTAAAAAAACTGAAACCTCATTAGGGCTATTGTAGATTAGTCAGCACAATGCATACCAGTTAGATTTCTGTCTGACTTGATCCTGATTTGCTTTGGCATGAAAATGTAGGCAACAACACCTGATGAGTAATGAGTGATTAAACATTTCCTGGCTCTCCCCTGTTCCAACAGCTAATTGGTCTAGATGTTGAATCAGTAATGTTATGTTTAAAGACTTGATGTCTTTTTGTGTTAAACTGGATGAATTTTGATTCTATCAGTCTGACTGCAGGTTTATTCTACTAACAGCATAAGCATTGTGTGGTTGATCGTGACATTTGTCAGCCAGAGAGGATGCATACAGTGAGCTTATAATACACAGCTCTCATAGACATAATTTTACTTTAATATATGAACAGTAGGCTTCAGATTTAATGCTTTAACTTCTAAGTGACAAAAACTTTTGGTGGGACGGAAACATTTTTCAAACATCTGCACTGATGTGAAGCCCTGATAGTTCTATTCAGTCGGTATCTAACAAGAGGTGAGTGTTTTTGTGACTTCCTTTGTAGACTAAAGGTTGCTGCTAACTGGTCATCTTGACAGTAGCTTTCTGTCTCAGGCTCCAGCTGCTGCCACCACCAGTACAGTTCATCTTAGACGACCCTATTGACTTTACATTCAGCCAAACCAAATTTGACAGCAAAAAATACAAATAATTAGAAAATGACTAATAATATAAATAATAAGACATACATTTATCTTTCGAGAAAGATGACAACTCATTTTAAAACAGTATTGCTAGTAAATGACCAAAGGGCTGCTGAGTTGAGACAGTTCCCCCTTTAGCTTTCATCTTGGATGTTGACTTCGCAAGACAGCTCCCAAGACAATGGTCTGCCGGTGACATGAGTTCAGGGCTACTCGTCTGCCTCACCAGATGTAGGATGTGAGGATAAGCCACGCATCATCTCAGTCGACTTTTTCATTCCTACCACGAACTGTGTGCTACCATTTTCTTCACTATGCGAAACAGCAACAACCTCCAAGAATGTACATACTGCACTGGAACTTCATATTTTACAAAGGATTTTTGCTTTACTTTGAATTGTGCAACCAATGTATTTTTTTGCAGTGGATTGTCGATTTCAATGACAGTACTCATCTCCCTGCATGCAAATGTTCCACCACTACACCAAAGCCGCATCCTTCACTTAGCCCTGCCCACATCAACTAATTGGTTATCAAAAAATAAATAAAAATAAGCCAGAGACTTCTCCTTAAAGCAGAATAACAGTGTGGTGCAGCCAGGCCGTTACGTACAGAATGGGCTGGCTGAGATATGCTACTTACAGTTGTCCAGCCACTACTTGACATGATGGCCTCCCAGCTTTACAAGCCAGTAAGAATTTTATCCAGTTTCAATATAGAAATTTGGTAGCCAGTGGCCACTGGATGAAAGCTTTGTATAATCCTATCACCTCACTGTTGCAGGTTCTAAGTAAGCCACTCAAGTAGAGCTGCTGCTGCACAGTCCACCAGGTTTATTTACGTTCTAGGGCTGCTTCTGTTAACTCTAAAATGTCTCAGCCATGAGCAAAACACACCGAATGTTCTGCTGTTGACTGCAATAGTAGACACAAAACTGAACAAGTTCAGGCTGGACAGAGGAGCAGCTGCAGTGAGCGGCTCATCTGGCTGCACTGCAGGACTGAAAGGTACCGGAGGTCCTTTATCCCCACAGCTATCAGGCACCATAACACTCTGGTCAAGGGCAATGACTCATGACCTACACTGGTGACTGCTACATTCCACTGACCCAACTCAGCAACCAATACAACCAATGATCCTGTCCCACCAGCAGAGATGGCAAAAGTACTCACATTCCTCACTTAAGTAAAAGTAGAGATATTTGTGTAAAAATATAGACTCTGGTAAAAGTAGAAGTACTGATTCAACTCCTTTACTCAAGTAAAAGTAAAAACGTACAGTTTCAGAAATGTACTTAAGTATAAAAGTATAAAATATAAATTAATTTTTAGCTTCGATGATACACGATGCCTCTTTTGATATCTCTGCAAAATGAAAAAAGTTTTGCGAACACAAAATAGGATTAATTTTCATCCTTTAAGAACCTGCACAGTGCTGGTACAGAGAAAAAGAATCACTGAACAGTTTTCTATTTCAGCAACATTATGAACATTAAACATTTTAATCAACAGGGAAACACTCGTCTCTTCAAGTCTACCAAAATCTTTTATTGAGCCTCAGTAGAAGCTGGTTCTCAAAGTTCTTTTGAATGAAGACGGGCCCTTTTGGGTCTGAAAATCAGTCCTGCACTGCTAAAAAGCCTCTCGCAGGCAGCTGAAGCAGGCAGGGCTGTGTTGAGCTTCAGTGACAAATTGCACACTGCTGGGAAAGATAATGTTGTTACGTCTTTTACGTCATGTTGTCATCCGCGGAGGTTGAAACAAGTAACAAGGCAGTTTTGAGAATGTAAGGAGTAGAAAGTACAGATATTTGTGTTCAAAGGGAGTAAAAGTAAAAAGCTGTAAGAAAAACTAATACTCAACTAAAGTACAGATAGCGGCAAAATCTACTTAAGTACAGTAACAAAGTGAACTACTGGATATGTAAGCACTCCCAGCATCTGAAGAACTGAAGATCAAGTCTATTAGTTTTCATTTTGATAGCAATGTCCAAAGGACAAAACACTACCATTAACACTGATTGTATGTCCACGGGTCAGAGCTCTGTGGATGCTGCCATACTGAGGGACATTCAGAGATGGTCAAAGCTTTAAGATCAATTTGAAACCTCTATAAATGCACTGGGTGAGATACTGTGTTATCATATTGTATTCATTCTTACATCTATTTGCTTCTCTCTCGTTTCACTCTGTGATCACATGTACAATATTTTAATTCAGTCAAATTCCTGTTGTGAGGAGTCGGCTACATTTCCATGTCTAATGACAAAAAGCCTGCTTCATCATGTCTCTCAACTGGTATAATGTTCATTTTATTTTCCTATTTACTTGAAATATTCTTTTACAGGGGGATCATCTGCATTTTCTTTGGGCTATTTGATTTTGATCATGTCTCGCACAAACTGAATCTTGTCTACCCCAGTTATAGTAAGGGGGGCAAGACCACAGAGACAGACACCTGAAAACCTGAACAGGGCAAAACTGTCTGCATGGCTACAAACTACTAGAAGTACATGCCACGTCTGTATGTCTGTAGATCTGTACATTGAGTGAATGAACCCTAAACAACATGTTTAATTATCTACATAATGCACTTAAACCCCCCGTTATAGAATATAGAACACTGCTTGTTGTCACTTGTATTATCTGCACATGCCATGTAGTCATTTTATTCAAATTAATTCAATTCAGCTGCAGAACTCCACACTGCTCCCTCAGAGTAAATCTAATCAAGGACCCCAGTTGGATGTGGCATGAAAACATTTGGCAAAAGTGCTTTAAATCATCTACTGTTGTTTTCTGTTCTGTTTTGTTGTTTAAAGGGGGAGAGAGAGAGAAAGGCCTTCATTTCAACGGCAGTTTATTTTGGTTTGCTGTGCCTGCAGCCACTGAGCATTAGCCACAGTCAAGTGGAGTAGAAGAGTACAAAAAAAAAAGGAAATGGCTGGACTGCAGGCAGCTTTCAGATGGACCTGAGGGCCCCCTTGAGAAGGCAACACGGTCACAAACTGCTGTTGTTTTTTTAGGGCAGCATGGCCCAGCACTTCTGGAGCAATGAATGTGCTCTCAGCCTGAAGCACAGCATTTTCACAAGTATAGCCTGAGCATGAGAGGGGCTCACACACACACACCACTGGATTCTTCTTCTTGTTATGAGTAACTATAATATGTATATCAAACTCGCGCGAGAACACACATATGCTCCTACCTTCACCGCCTCTATGTGACTGACCCTGTCAAACGCCATATCGTTGGCAGTCACTATCTGGTCCCCGACCCTCAGTCCTTCTCTCTCGGCCGATGAACTCGGCTCCACCAGGGACACGTAGATCCCCACGCCATGCTCTGATCCCCCGCGGATGCTGAAGCCCAGACCCTCGTGGCTCCTGGAGCGCGTCAGTGTTACTTTGCGCACCTCTCTATAGGGGCCCTCACAGAACTGCGCCACGGAAGCCGAAAGCTCCGCGGCGGCGCTGAAACCGTCCGGACAGCCCGGTGTGAGGGACTGCTCATGGACGGAACTGACATATTTTTGCAGAGTTGAATCGCCCTCGTCTCCAAAGCCCTTGGCACTGCTGTTGTTGGGGAGCAGGTCTGTCTTCAGGTAGAGCCCCTCGGATGTGTACTGGTCGAACAACAGCTGATCGGACCTCGGGATGACCAGACGCAGCATGGGCAGCAGCTGTCGTTTTTCGGGCGTGTTGAGAATCACTTTGAGAGTTTGGACCAGGTCGAAGACGTTTCGCTTGGCGTGGTACACATTGATACAGTGGATGAAGTGTTCTCTCTCCACGTCGCTGAGAAGAACGTTGAGAGCGTTGTGGAGCCTCCGGACGTTCGCTGAGAGCGCACGGCCACCCAGGCCGGCCGAGTTCACCGATGTGTTGAGCGTAACGCGCTCCAGATCAGCGCTCATGATACAACATAACGGGGAAACAGTGCGTCAAACAGATGTGAGGACGGATCGAGCATTGGTAAACCGCTGTTCAAGTCGATTCTCCCGTTTGAAAGTAAAACACGAAGCTGCTAATCGCGCATCAAGCAACTTCAACAGGTGACCGGTGATCTAGGCGCGTAACGGTACCGATGTGCGCCGCACACAGTGTGTCGCCCCGAAACAAACCGTTTTCCAGGTTACTGCTCGCATTCTTCTGGCACTGAACAAAGCACAAATGTTACTGTCCCGTTCTCTGTTTATTCCATGCACAACACAGTCAGCACTGTCTTCACCGGGATGAGCCTCGACGACTCTTAATACTGTCCTGTATAATATCTGACACCCGACACATCAGCCTAGAAAAATGTCCTTACCACTGTCTGTGATAGAAAAATACCAGATACATTGACCTTCATGTTGATTCTGTCCATAAACTAACTCCAGAGTCTGTCTTCCTTCCACGCCGGAGCTCTGTCTTTGCGCAACTGACAGGGAGCGCTGAATAGGACGCTCACAGACCATTTGTGTATAGGAAATGACGCAAGTGTGTGTGTGTGTGTGCGCGCGCGTGTGTGTTGCTTAGAAACTGACTACTCACCCATATTTAAATGACTATTCTTGGCAAGGCATTACCTGATGTTTGTGAAAGCAGGAAAGACACCAGTTCAGATATGACACAAATAGGTGAAATAAATTCATTAAAAATAAAAAAAAAAGAAATCCTTTTTTTTTTCTTTTCAAACTTTTTTGGCCCAAAGCAGCCAAATCCCTGCTTGGGACAATCATTCTGGACAACCTAAACATACATGATTAGAACACTGTATTGAATGCTTCATGTGGATGCAGATGACAGAAGGTGGCTGCCTGTCAGCCTTTAAGCTCATCAAGCTGCATTATAGCGATTGCCTCCCTGAGACTCCTTGTCATAACTAGCGCTTATGGCTATTTTTAAACGGCTATTTATAGGAGCCCAGAGTTGTCTTCCTCCTCATGACAGTAACGAGCTTCTTCTGTCTGGCCCATGCGCACAATAGGAGTCCCAGGGTACATTCCTGCCACACCAGGATGCTGTTTAAAAATAAAAAATAAAAAAATAAAAAACTGGCTCCTGACAGAATGCAAGGCCGCCCGGAGGATCCCGTTTGGTCAGTGCAGTTAAACATAAGAATCACATAAATTACTATGTCTCACCACATCAACATGGTTCCACAGAGTCTCCTGTGGAATGAGCCTGCTGCCACCCACTGTCTTTAATTTGCTGGTTGACTTTGGTGCTTCTTTAAATATGTTTTTAATGCAGACACATAGGAAAGGTGTGCAAGTGCAGAAAATTTACATTTAACACTTCTTCATTCCCACTTCAGCCAAACCGACACTGATGCAAAATGTTGAATGCTGAACTCAAAGGTTATACTATAGACAAAACAGAGGTACAAGGAAATTACATAGACATGTGCTGTATTGGCCATTAAAAAAATAAAATAGAATAAAAAAGGAACAAATTTTGTGTTCATATTTCAAAGTGCATTAAAACATCCATCCCATTCATTATCTATACACCGCTTAATCCTCATTAGGGTCGTGGGGGGGCTGGAGTCTATCCCAGCTGACTTAGGGTGAAGGCAGGGGACACCCTGGACAGGTCGCCAGTCTATCACAGGGCTACACTTAGAGACAGACAACCAAGCACACTCACATTCACACCTACGGACAATTTAGAATCACCAATTAACCTCAACATGTTTTTGGACTGTGTGGGAGAAGCCGGAGAACCCGGAGAGAACCCACGCTGCACGGGGAGAACATACAAACTCCACACAGCCTCCTGTGGACAAGTGTTGCGAATTAGCACATGTGCTAAAACACTCAAACAAAGCATCTGGTCTGTCCAATGTGATTGTGATGTCCACATCAAATAAACAATAAAATAAATAAAATAAACACACAGAAAGATCCCGGTGCCCCCACTGGGACCTGAACCGGCGACCTTCTAGCTGCAAGGCAACAGTGGCATTAAAACATGAACTGACAAATATAACATTAACAACACCAAAAAATGTAAAATTATTTTAAAATGTATTTTTAGAAAAAAAAAAGAGAAATCAATGCTCACTGGAAACAGCATTTAGTACAAAGTGGGAAAAAAGGCTGAGAGTTTAAAGGTGCATTTTTTAAATTTTAGATCATTTGAGGGCAGTAGAATACAACAGTGTAAGCACAGCACTGAAGAAAGTCAGACAGACTATTTCAGCAATTCACATCACAATAAATGCTGCTTCTCCATGCCTTTTGTTTGTGTTAGCTAGATAGGTTTAGTATAACTACATTGAATAATTTAGGTGATAAAAGTACAACACATACATCAGCAGAAGTCAAAGCTTGGCTAAATTTGCTGAAAAAATAAAAGCTGTCTGGTGGTTGCAGCTGAGCAGAGCCGAGTGATCTGGCTCAGTAAAAAGAACCAGAGCTCCCATCATTAATTAGGCCATAAAATTAAGTACTGGACAAATCATGTTGACATAATGAAGGCACAAACATCAACCTATGGCAGCCGTGTCAATAGAGTCATGCTGGTAAAATCACAAAAACAATGTCCAAACGGGTAGCATGTACAGTTATTCTTGACAAGGGATATCCACTTCTCCACCAGACATCTACAGATTACCTCAGTTTTACATGTTAAAGATGAAGTGGGATTGTTTTTTTTCCCTAAGTGTTACACAAGATATGCGGGCATTATCAGTAACTGCAGTGTTGTAAGTGGGGAGGGAGGGCACAATAATGCCGATTAAACATCAGAAGGTGGTTTCAGTCTTAAAGATTATGTGTGAGCTCTCCTTCTCTGTGTCTGTGTTTATCCCTTCCACCCACACAAAGTCTGACGCAGGCAGAAAGTTTGTAGAAACTTTGTTGATGATGACATTGTGATTATTGTTGTACTGACATATACACTGATAAGCCACAACATTAAAACCGAATAATGCATAAGTCTCCCTCAAGCTGCACAACAGTTCTGTGCCTCATATGGGGGGGCTTGGTCTGCAACAGTGTACTGTGAATTCCGGACTATTGAGTGCACCTGAATATAAGCTGCACCCACTAACTTTAAAAAGAAAACAGGTTTTGTACATATATAAGCCGCACTTGTCTATAAGCGGCAGGTGTCCAGGTTGTAACATAAGATATTACACAGAAATTTTTAAAAAACTTTTACTTTCATACATACTGGTAAGATACACAAATAAGCACCGTAAATGCTTTTTTCCAAACAGTGCCTGTAACACGGCTGGTTAAAAAAATAAAAAATACAGTCGCCTACCATGAAAAGTCATTGATAGCTATCTTCATCTTCCTCCTGCGCACAAAAACCACTAAAGTCGTCTTCTTCAGTGTCGAAATTGAACAGCCTCAGAATTACTTCGTCACACACTTCCTCAGTCTCTCTTTTGTTGTCACTCTCAATGTCACTTTCGTCTTGAAGCAAATTCGTAAAACTCCTAAAAATCCATAAATTAGCTGCATCATTGTTTAAGCCACAGTATTCAAAGCGTGTGATAAAAAATAGCGGCTTATAGTCCGGGATTTACGGTACATGTCACAGTGTCACACACATGAATGCCAGGACCCAAGGTTTCCCATCGTACTGAAATGCAATAATCAGAGTGATTTATTTTACTTGAGAGTCATTTTCAAGTCGTAGCTGACTGGAGTACAGTAATGTACAAAGTTTATCAGCACTAAAAGTGAAGTGCATATGTCATGAAGAATAAACTTTATACTAAGTGCAATAAAGAGAAAAAACAACAGAATACTATCAATATTTGGTGAGACTATTCTTTGCTGTTAAAACAGCACCAGTGCTCCACAATGGGTTGTTCCAAGAATGTTGGAGAACTTACCAGAGTTCTTCTGTCTCCTTTTTCTAAAAATAATCTAAGACAGATGTTGAGATCAGGGCTCTGTGCTTTGATATTCAGGTACAGAACTCCTTGATTTTCTTTTAGCAGAAAATAGATCTTTATGACTGATTGAATTTTCTGCTGTGGGATAAAATCCCAAAGCTTGCAAATGGCATTGTGTGATGAATAAAAAACCTTAACATCGAAAATGTCAGAAACCATTGCATAGTACAGTCAGTGTATTATATTGTATAAATAAATAGGGCTGGTACATACAT